TTTTAAGGTTAAAAAAGAAGTTTATATACCTATTATTTTCTTTTTAAAAAAAGAATGTGTCTCAAGCAGTTGTGTGGAGTGTACATATGAGGAATAAAATTGCAAGAGAGTGCAATTTTACCCCACAGATCAGACACAGCCCATCAACAAATGCTGCTCTGGAGTACATTAAGTCAAAAGTTGCTGCCCTAGGCAGAAGTCCAGCCAGAAGTTTAAGCTGCAATACAGCCAGGAAGTGCTGCAATCCACAGCTGACCAGAACCAAACAGAAAGCACAACAGAAACACTGAAGTAATTAGGAGTGCATACAAAGTATTGGTCAAAGGTGTGTGAAGAACAAAAAGCTGCTGGGGACCTTGCAGAAGGAGCAGAAACCAGAAGGCACAGCTCCAGACAGGGTAGTGCTTCCTCCCTCAAGAAATGAATGGGGGACATGAGAAGTATGCTCACTKGCATAGATGGAAAAAAGCAGAACACAGGGCTACAGAAAGCAGCAGCCCTCTGGCTTGCAGAGAACACCTCCCTAACGTACTGAAAATAAGCCTGATGGCAGGACTGAATTGAATTGTATCTACTAAGTACCCAAAAGGGAATGTGGTTAATGACACTGACATACAACTTGTTTATACATCTAAGACATTCTGTCTTACACAATGTGGCTTCCATGCTCTGCTTGGGAAAGTTGGTTATTTGATACTTCTCCCAYCCCTTCTCTTACCAGAACAATATCATTAAGAATGGAACTGGAACCCAACCTGCTGAGGCGACTGCTAAAACCTGGCAGGAAGCTGCCTTAGAGAAGCCAAAAGAAAACCAGAGGAGCAATTAGCTCCTTAACTCAGTGGAAGTTCTGCAGTGCACTAAATTTCTAAGATTCTTCTTGGCATCTGACATTTCATCAGTGCCACTGACAGGAAGCCTGRAGCACACAGAGCTGCAGCCCTGGGAGGCACTCACACCACACCGGATAACCCATTCCTATTGGTAACCACATGGCTGGGCAGGATTCAACAACTTCAAATGACATAGCAAAATGCAAGGGAAGGAACCAGAACTGTTAATTTTGCAAGAAAATAATCTTAATAGATAAATCCTCCAAGTYAGCAGTGTCTGCTTGGAGCACAAAATGGCTAAAGCAACTCTCCAGGAAGTTTATTCAGCAAGTCSAGAAAAACTGCTGTACAAGTGCCACATCTGTACTAGAAGTGCYTTCTACTGTAAAGACATCATTGTCACTACACTCTACAAGTCTGCCAAYCTACATAATATCAGCAAATCATACTAGCAACACAAGTTTCCAACTCTTGAGTGATGCTGMATAATGCATAGAAAATCACTGATCCATTTACAGAGTCAAGGCTTCTGGATTTTACCAGGACTGTACTCTCTGTCCTGCTGTTCGGACTTACTTAAAATCCATTCTTTGTGCCCTTCTATTCATAATGGTAAGATTATAAATAATTGAATATTTTCAACTGTTACTTAAAGCTGTTATTTAAGTATTTAAGACTAAGTTGCACCTGAATGGGAGACCAGCAAAACAGGCACAAGCCACACAGACATGATTCAACAGTTGGCAAATATCAGATAGCAGAAAAATTGACTTGGAAGAATTTACTCAACCTATTGTCTTTAATGWCAGAAAAGTCCAAGAAAGATTTGTTACACCAAGCCCATGCTGGAAAACTCAGCCTTCTTTTCTAAAATAAGCAAATTAGTTTTTGCTCTCAGAGGACTGTGAGATTTCTCTCATTGTTTTGGGAATTAAATATTGCATTATCCTTTCCTGTTTCATAAATATTATAAAAAACCTACAGCAATTTAAATCAGAATCCCAACAGTTGATTAAAGCAACACAGAAGTGAAAAGGAATGGCTGTATTATATGAAATACTTAACGTGCCTCTTAGAGCAAACACAGGCTCCACTTTGGTTCAATACCTTAGAGAAAGTGGTAAGAAATCAGAACAGTAAGGGAAAGCAGACATTTAAAAAATTTCTTGCATGTTAAATAAATGAAGAGGCTGCTTCTGCAAAGTGGTCACAGTAACGGAATRCACCAAACTCCTACAGTACGGGCAATTAATAAATTGTCTTTGTGAAATTAGTTGAAACATTTGAGTTTCAGCTTGAACCTATGAGTCGAGCTGAACATAAATTAATGTCTCAACTGAAGTGCAAAATATTTTGTTTTTAAATTAAAATAAGTTAATAATAAAACACTACACTGACTAGGAATCACTTGTTGTAGGTTGGAAGTAGGGTGTATGCAAACCCCTGGGAACGTGGTGGGGGAAAAAAAATCTTTCTTAAAGTGTTACTGTGGCAGACTTTAGTGATTATACTGAYTGTAAGTGTGATGATTATTTCGTGTTCTCCACAATTTTTGAGGACRTGTGTAATACAGATTAAAACAATCGTAGTGACACTGCCTCAGCTGCCTCGCTGTGCACCCAGTGTAACTCACAGGAGGCCCTGCCACCTCTCCATGCTGTGTCAGGAAGCCTTGAGGAGGGATGCAGGCTCCAGGCCCCTGGCACAGACTGCTCATCAGAGCCTGTCAGAACCTTTTCACAGTAGTTCTCAGCTGGGCATTTGTGACAGCTCTTCAGATGCTGAGAAAAACCACAAGAGACAAGAACTCATCATTCCTTACCCTAAAAAGCAACAACTTACAGTTCCATAAATTCTTAATACAGCTCCCAACTTTTCTTCCAAGCACAAGGTGGCAAGAGGTTTCAGCAGGCACGTGCCACACTCTTTCCACTGATACTTGCTACCCTCAAAACAGTTTCCAAGAAGACCTGAGCTACGGGTTCAGCAATCTGAAACTGCATAAAATGGCAATGCCAGTAAGAACCCAGTCGTTGTCCTGTTTTCTCCCGTGTCTGAGTGGCTCATTTTGTGCTAGTACAAGTAYCAGTGAAGTGAAATGAAAATCAGAAACTGGTCTTTGCTTTTCTTTYGCCTGACTAGTTTTAACAAAAAGAAAAAATGAACCACCCTACTTTCTGCATTAATTCTGCCCAGTTCTCCTGTGTGGTACATAACAAACCATATAAACACAAACGAGTGTTGGAAAGCACTTTGAAATGAATCACTATGGCAGGACYGATTCTTTCTGTTGCAATATCAAAATATTACCAGCCTCAAATGTTTACAAAATTCTCATTYCAGAATTTTTTCTTAAAGCGTAAATCACAGAAGATATACAGCACTATTTTTCATTCTCTCCCAGTCAGTCCAGAAACAGGAGAGAAGTTACGTGCATAGTTCTTAAGAGATGCACTGTTACATGATATGTTGGCCAAAATAGTCAGAGTCTTACATGCTTTTTTTAAAAGTTGAACCAGCATGAAGTGCACCCTTGAAAACCCTTTATTAACCACTGTGAATTTTTTGTAACACATCTCAACCGTATACTGTTAGCTGATTTAACAAAAAAAAGGCAGTAATAAAATTGCAAACAAAAGCATATTTTCCTGTTTCTCCAGGCCATCAGATACTTAAAAATATTTACTACAACGAGAGAGAACTTAGGGGAGGAGAAAAGAGCAACAGCCTTCAAGAAAGGGAAAAGAGACAACAAAGACGTTCAGAGGCTGCAGAAAACAAACAAGCAAACAAAACCCAACCAATCAAATAACAAATAAAACCTCAACCTGTTCCCCTGAGGTTAAATTGTTTTCCCACTGTCGCTATTTCCAACAGTCAAAAGACACTGGTCTTCTGATCAGAGAAAGGTTTCTAATTTTGTCCTACTGAAAAAACAGCAATATAAAAGCAAGTAAGACAAGCTCATAGCAGTTGCTAATAAATATTATTTATGCCATTTTCATAGGGCTTTACCTTCACTTTGCACATGCAATGCTCAGTTGCAAGTAACAAAGATACTTAAAATGCTGTTACAGACCCTTTGTTTCACAAATATCTGCTTGAATTCTTGTGAACTCAAACTGAAAATAATGCCAAGGTATGCCTATGCGTCTAAATCTGCTGTTTCTTATTTACTGCATTTTAAGTGATTTCTCCAAATCAGACTTTACGGGCAATTGTYAAAAAACTGTAAAAAAACTGTTTGTCCATCTATGGGGCTCTGCTAAACCTCATGGAAGAGCACTGAATTCCAAATAAAGAACTCACCACAAATTACTACACCAGCCACCATTTAATTGAGGAGTGTGAGTGGATGCTCCAAGGAGTCCCAGAGCAGTGGAGGGCAGACACAGCTCTTACCAGTAAATAATTTAAAAAGGAGTTGCTGATAACACTGTATCTGCAGTAACTTTGACATATGCAACAGAAAAGGTTTTTTAAAAAAATACATATCTCAAAATAAGTTCACTGTAAAGCATACTTATTCCAAGAAGGTTCACTTGCTACAAATTACATTTTAAAACAAATAATCTGCTATTTTCACCAGAAAAAAGATTCTGCTTATATACATGGATAGAAAACACTTTCAAATCACAAAATACACCTACTCTGATGTAGAATCATATGCTTCATAAACTACAAGATCCTGTCTACAATTAATTTGGGGAAAATCAAAAACATTTATGCAAAGATTCAAAAATGAACCAACAGATTTTAAGGTACAACAAATTCAAAATGCACAGAAGGCTTCTCTTTTAGATTAACTACGACTATATAAACAATGTTGTCATTCAGTGTAATGAATTCCTAAAGAATAATAACTGGGATATACTAAGCAAATTATGTAGCTACATATATGTAAGATAAGAAAATAACATAAAAGGATTTTTCCACCTGTATTTAGGAAAAAAAAAAATCTACAGCTGGTATTTTCCAATGTATTTTCATAATATAACAACTTTCTAAAATGAAATGCTTCTTGTAATAAAAGGTCCTCCAAAGCCTTCTGAAGCTCAGAGTTAAAAGAAATAGTACAATAACCACGGCCAATGCATTTCTGACCATGCAATTTCTTATGATTGAGATCACAACAATGCCATTATTTAAGGGCCATTTGCAACTTACATCTATTTAAAAAATTATCAATGTTCTTGTTCTTCCTCAGTGCTGGGTAATCCAGATCAAGGACCAAAGAATTCAAGCCATCCTGAAAAAAAAAATAAAAATAAGTTAATTGAGTTCCAAAATCTTAATTAACAACTTTACTAAAATTACTGCACTGAGACTGATTACATATTATTCAAGCATGCATTACATTCCTAGCAGGCAAATCAAACAAGCTCTCAAGTATGTTTATAAACCAGCAGAAGAGCCAACACACAGTGGCTGGCTCCAAGTACTATAAACAGTACAACTATACTACCACTGATTAGTGGCACTGGAACTTAAACTGAAGTAGTAGTTTTAATCTTCATCAGTAAGCAATCTTACTCATTAAACACTGATTTAAGATACTGAGTTCAGTCAAACCAATTTTATAACTTCTGTTACACTTTTCCTGCAAAGACTTTATGTTTGTATAACCATATTATTGCTTTGATCAAAGTCTCTCTACCTTCTCGTTCTGGACATTCAAAAACCAAACACACATTTTTCATGGAAACAAGACGTGATCTAAACTTAAGAAGACAATTCAGCATGTAATTCAGGCTCACWAGATTAGAGTACTTTTTCTGAGTGACTCAACATAAGACAAGTCAGAACTCTACATGTCATTCTGCTACCCATTATCAATGCCTCAGCAGAAAACAATTGAGACTCTTAAAATGGCAAGGGATGAGATCACCAAAACTAAACTAAAAATAGTATTTTAAATGCTTGTTGCAAGACTTAACTCAATTCCACCTTTCTGCAACATGGAAAAACTTTAGAAAATTACTCCAGACATAGATACCTTTCCAGTTACACAGGGACAATAAAATTAAAATAAGTTTCAGATACTAAGAGGAGTCAGAGATACCATTCATTGTCAGTAACTCCAATGTTCAGCCTCAACTGGCAGCTTTATTAATTGCCCTGAGAACAAAACCCTGAGACTGCTTTTTCAGGTTTTTGAGCCTTAACAACACAGAGATTTAAAAGTCAGAGACCACATCATGTTTATTCACAGACAACCAACAGAACCTGACAGCTTTTCAGTMTTCTTAATCACTGAGAATATAGCTAACAACCTGCTGATTTTATATTTTTATTAATAAATCTGGGAAGGTATAATTTATTTCAAATATTACTAAAATTATTATATTAATTTTAATAACATATCTACCTGGAGAGACTCAAAGGCAAGGCCTAAGATTATTAAGTACATTTTGAATAACCTTGTCCTAAACAAGCACATACAAATGTAAGACTACCTCATCAGCGAAGATGGCACTTTTTACCCTAAAACACGCTAATGGTTAAGACCATTTTCAAAATGAAGATGTTTTATTTATTTATTTATTTTTACCTTCTAACAAATGACAGTGCCTTGGGAAGTGTCACAGACACACTAATGGAGTATGGGTTAGTCAAATGATTAAAAGCTCACAGAAAGACTCAGCGCAGAACACTGAGCAGTGGCACAAAGACCAGTTGGAGCCAGTCACCAGCAGTGTACCCCTGAAAAKCCAAGTCCCGCTGCTGGGGAGGAAAAACCCCAGGCACCAGGTATAGACCGTGGCCRGACAAGCAGGAGAGCAGCTTTGCAAAGAAGCACCTGAAGGTCCTGGTGAACAACAGGTCCCTCTCTAGTCTGCAGTGACAAGGTCACACCTTGCAGTGTTCACTCCTGGGCTCCCAAATCACRAAAGGCTGGGACCCACTGGGGTGAGACCAGCAAAGGACCATGAAGATTAAGACACTAATGCATTTTTCAAAAGAGGAAAGGTTCAAAGAGCTGCGACTCTGCAGCCTGAGATGAAAAGACTCAGGGCAGGGSAGCCCATCACTGTCTATAAGTACCTATGGCAATGCTCATTAACAGGTCAAGAGACAACGGACACAAGGTAAAACACATGAAATTCTACTTGAACACCACATTCTTTTTCCTGTGTTCCTGTGAGTGGTCAAGTACTGGAACAAATTGCCTGGAGAGGTTGTGGAGTCTCCACCGGTGGAGATGTTCAAAACCTGATGGGRCACAGTCCTGGACAATTGGCTGACCTTGCAATGAGCAGGGCATTGGGCTAGATGATACCAAGAAGTCCTTGCCAACCTCAAACATTCTGCAATGTAACACCTATAATATTTCCACTGCTGAACAGAGAAAAGGTGGAATTTTATTCTTTGCTCTGTGTAACCCCAACTATTATGAAGGTGTGACACATCAAGTTTTAGAACTCCCTAACAGAAAGAAGCATAAGACAGCGTAAATAAGCAAATGGGAAGACAGACAAGGAGGTGCAATTATTGCTTTAGTAACAATATATACAGGAATTATTTCAGCCTTGACCATAACTGTTCCTGCAAGACACATTAAGGATAAATGTGTCGTATTTATATATGACATATTCATCTTTCAAATGGACAGGAGACTTACTACCTAATTTATACGACACTTGTACAGAAGATATGATAAAACCAAACCTAAATAACATACCAAAGTAACAAAGTTGTTACATACTCATGGATTAGTCACCACATGAATTGCACAGGTACTGCCCAATAAACTGGATAAATCAAAAAGAAAGTACTAATTTGAGATGACTTTCTGCAAAGTAACATTATAGAATCCATACTACTCTTTGTCAAACACCATCRTCAAACCAGGTGGTGTTTGCCAAACGTTCTGCAGCACAGTGTGTCAGCACAAATACGAACCCTCATCCTGCAACATAGAGACAGATCATGCTCAATGCCTTCATGGGAGCAGCTGGGCCACCTTTTAGGATTTTACCTRGCTCAGTGAAGTATCAATTACAATCAGATGGAAGTCTACACATAACACCAAACTCCAATGTTCTTCTTTCACTGCTACTGACACAATATTCTCATGATCACTAACAACTGGGTAAATACTTTAAGGGAGATTGTGCAGATTGTGCTAACTAAAATCAGCAAGGTGTATTTTTGTTCTTCCTGTTTTGGAGGGGATGAGAGGTGAGGTCACCTGACATCTTGATGTTTTTCATGAGAAGATATTTTAGTAATTGACCAAGAAACCCATTTATAGTGTGCTTGACTTCTATCTTATGCAAAACATAAGAGGAAAGAATAAAGTTATTACGCCAACAAAAATTTTAGTGAAGTTGGATTCCAAAGTCCAAACCAACCATACCTTTCAATTTAAACTGAACTGTACATTATAATTTCASATGTCACTTTTCCTCCCCATGTCATTCTGATTCCAGGGCTTTTTTGTGGGTTATACAGAACCATATTAGAAGCTAATTTATTAGCTCTTTCTGTCATTTTCTCATAGAGTCCTGTAAATTTGAAAACAGTGCAACTGACTGTTTTAGCCATTTGGAAATTGTAGTGAGCCTTGCTAAAAGCTAACTACGTGATAAAGGGACATGTAGAATACTCTGGAAATGTCCGATCTCAGTACAACTACAAGCTGCTAACAGCTGCAGTTACAAGAAGCCGTTTGTCCCCGAGACAGGTTTGTTAAGTTCACTTAATGACTTGATGGCCCAGCTTGTGAGGCTAACTAGCAAAGTATTGTTTCTAAAGCAGCCTATAAGGAGCTCAGATTTTGTAATATGTATGAGGTTGATTACCATTAACGAACATGGGCATAAAAGCCGTGGTCGCTGACTGAATAAACGAGTTATGCTGATCATCTCATCTGGTGGTCGTGTGCATTTACTCCCGCCGCTCGACAAATGGTCTGCTCCAACAGGAAATGTCCTAACTCTTGAAGATAGCCAGATATGGCTGGTGTCAAAAAGAGGTGATCAGTATCATCATCACAAGGAACAGAAAGTGTGTCCATTTTTTTTTTTATCCCTGTGAACAAACCTTAYTATCACACTCTTTCAAAGACAAGATTTTAAACTATTAAACAAAAWTTTAATGTAAGAGATTTCAAATTCATATCAGCATGTAGCTTATGAAAGACTTGTCTTTCACATTATGATTTTATCAAAAGTTTCCTTTAAGTTTTACATTTTCWTTGAAAGAACTAGTTTACTTCAATTAACAGATAAATTCACTACAATTAAGAAGCTGGGTCAAAATATTTTGCAGTAAAACAGACGGTTGAGACTGAAGAGAAGTAATTCAGGAAATGACGTCTCCTCTGTCTAGGCCTCACAGATAAGTCACTTCAACCAGGAAATATGCTATTAAAGGGATTTCACTGGTCACTTCCTCTTTCTGCTGTTACAACAGACTCAGAAGCTAACAGGCCAAAAATAGCAGCTTGCTAACAAATGCATCACTGGCAAGATAGATCTGCCCCCATCAAAAGCCTTTTGYTCATGGCAAAAATCTTTTCCAAGAGAAAAGACCAAACTTGAAAAATTTTGTAACACCCTCCTACTACATGAGGAGGAGTTTCTGGCCACTCTGACAGCAGTCACCCTCTGTGGGCAACATGGAGCTTGGCTTTCCCAGCAAGCAGTTTGCATTGTTTACARATCTGAATTAAACAAAGAAAAAGACCAAGAAAAGTTCAGGAGATACCAGAACTAAATGTTAATGTTCTTCTCTGACAAAAAGGTCAGTAATAGSCAAAAATACTAGAAACTTCTCAATAATGAGCTTAATATTAATTCCAGGCAATCCCACAAAAGCCCCCATCAAATTAAAACCATGCTGTGCTGAAAAGAGTTAGTAATGTTAAAGTAATTGTTTGAACCTGCCTAACATTGATAAGCACATGTAAACTCTTGTTTAGCTTGTCCTACTCAGTGATCTCTAGRWTATGTTGCAATTCATTTTTCTTATRCTTAAGCATTAGTAATTAGKATGTGAAGGAATAATCTGGGCCATGATAATGCAGCCGACATTTACAGTTGGGAGGCTTTGCTATTCCAGTTCTTTTACAGTTTTACATTAACAGATTTAAGTTTTAACAGTGTTGGGTATGTACAGTTTACAAACCTAAAAGAAGCTACTGTCCACAAATAACTATGTAAATGCTTAACAACAGGATTTACTTACAATCTGATTTCTGTACATTAAGGTCATCAAATACTGAAAATGGTTTTAATGTTGTCT